GGTAGGTCCTAACCCCTGGGCCCCTCTGCTCGGGGGCGCCACGTGGGTCAGCGGGGGCGCGAGTGTGGGCAGAGGAGTGCGGGGCGGCCCTGCGCACTCCGCACCTGCCCCCTCCTCTCCGCAGCGCTCCTCACTCCCACCGTGGAGGCAGCGACACAGCTCCAGCAGTCCCACCAGGATAGAGACCTCCACCAAGAGGCCCCGGAACCTGAGGCTAACTCTCCAGCCCGAGGCGGGGAGGAGGGGACGCAGGGGCAGGGGTCCCGGGACCCCAGGAATAGACAGGGCAGGGCCGAGCGGCTCGGAATGTTCACTGACTGGGGGGGGGACCAGTCCCTTCTAAGGGCTGTGCCTAACGGGGTCGGGTCTGAGCAGCTTGTGGGGGAGGGGCAGATGCTAGCTCCAGGGGGCTCACCATTCTTCCCTCCGACTCTCTTTCTATGGGGGGCGACTCTCTTTCTATGGGGGGCGGGAAGAATGCAGAGGGGACTCCGTTCCCAGCCCCACCCTCAGGCTCACATGCAAATTTGCCAAGTCCTTAGGAGGCCCCAGATAGACCCTGCCTCCCCCTTCGCGGTGGGGATGGGGGGAGCCGGACACAGGTGAGGGGTTGGGGGTGGTACCCTCCCAGACCCTGTCCTGCCAGGGTCTGGTACCTGGCCCTCCTGCAGCCAGGCTTGGGGAGTGGGCAGGAGGCAACTAGGGTTCCTAGCCCTGCTTTCCGATTTGCTACCTCCTGGGAGCCTAGAGACAGTGCCCCCCACCCCACCCCCAGCCCGTGGGAGACCAGGTTCCGACCCGGTGGGGGAGCAGGGCTGAGTGTGGAAACTTAGCTTGGTAGTTAATTGGCCCCGAAGGTGAGGAGCGGGCCTTAGAGCCCAGGTACCCGGGAGGCACAGGGTAGCAATGAGCTCCCAGAGGCCCCACCCTGGGCAATGGTGGGGAGGGGGCTTTCCAGGCAGAGCCAGGCTCCCATCTACCCTTAGGGTGGGTCTCTCACGGTCTCCCTTCACGCCCCCGCCCCCCCGCCCCCAGCCCCAAGCTGGCTGCCGAGGCCGCCGACCCCATGGAGGAGTGGGACGTCCCCCAGATGAAAAAGGAGGTGGAGAGCCTCAAGTACCAGCTGGCCTTCAAGAGGGAGATGTCCTCTAAGACCATCCCCGAGTGAGTCTCCAGGGCCGCGTGCATGTGCGTTTGCATCTCATTTGCCTGCCCCGTGCTCATTTGCATAAACAAAGACCACACCCTCATGGGAGGCGGGCAGGCCCACCACCTCCCCTCCCCACCCCATGGCACCCTGGGAAGGGGACAGCCCACCATGTATGCACCCCCACCTACAGGCTCCTCAAGTGGATCGAGGATGGGATCCCCAAAGACCCCTTCCTGAACCCCGACCTCATGAAGAATAACCCATGGGTGGAGAAGGGCAAATGCGTCGTCCTGTGAAACCCCGCCCCCCATGAGCATCCCCCCTCTGAATGTGAAGGTGATTTTTATAAAGGGAGACTTTTCCAGCGCTTCTGCTGTGTTCACGTTTATTTGGCGGGCAGGGTCGCCAGCAGGGTTGGGGGCTGGTGTCTCCCCCAAACAGGAGAGCTCTGTGGGTCCCAGTGAGGTAAGAGGCCCAGTCCAGGCGGGACTCGGGCTGATCACCCAGCAGAGATCCCCATATGGACTGAAGGCTGGTGGGGCTCGAGACCTGCAGGCAGGACCCCGGCCTTTCGGTGCAGGCCAGGCTACAGCAGGTCCCGGATGTACACGCTGCGGCGCACGGCATTGGACACGCCCTCGTTGAAGCGGAACCAGACGTGGCTGCGGCCCACCGCTGTGCCCATGCGCCACTCGGGCGCTGCATCCTCTGTGGGGGCTGTGCGCTTGTTGGGGGCAGCCTCGCTCCTGACGACCACACGGCCAAAGAAGTCCCTCTCGGGCTAGGGGATGGGAGGAAGCCGTGTTGGCGCCCCAGAGCAGCTCCATTGGGTCCCTGGGCCCAGCAGACCGGTCACCAGCTCCCAGCCCAGGTCCAAAGCCCACCTGAGTGCAGAGGGGAAACCCGGTGGCCAGAACCCCTGCCGAGTCCCTGGGGCTCCCTCTCCCAGCCACAGTCACCTGCCCCGAGGTCCCCCTCACCTGCTCCTCAAATGTAGCCTTGCTCATAATGTGCTCCAGGCGCTGCTCGTGGTTGCGGGGGGCAGGGGGCTGCACCCCTTTCTCCTTACCCCTCACAGGACCCTTGGTGCCAGGGGGACCCCCATCGGCCTGCGGGGTTATGAGGACAGGGTGAGTCTAGCTGGGGGGCTCCATACCTTAGGGGTGGGACTTATGGTATGTATGTGTGTCTGTCTGTTACATGTGTGTTGTCTGTGCGGGAGTATGATCTATCCTCACCGCCGGGCCTTGGGCAGTCAGAGCCAAGGCCTCCACCCGCCGCATCTTCTCCAGCTCCACCTCTCGGGCTACCAGCTGCTTGGCCTGGTACGTAAGCGGCTTGCGGGCTGGCAGTTCTGGGAATCGGCAAATGTCCTCCACATTCCTGCTCTTGGGCAGCAGGGCAGGGACACCAGGGCCTGGTCAGCTGGGGGAGCCCGAGCGTCCCTGCCCAGCCCCTCTGGAAAGTCAGCTAGGAGGGGTTGCGTGGAGCAGGTCCCTGGAGTTCTTGCACTGACTTCAAGACCTGCCCTGGGCCACCATCAGCCCCTCATGGTGTGAGTGTGTGGAGGCCGGGGGGCCGGGACAAGGCCTGACCCAGCACCTCCGGGTCAATGTGTGCTTGCAGCCCCCAGAACAGCTCAGGAGGGAGGGGGCTCAAAAGAAGAAAGGGGTTCTCCAGGGACACCCTGGGGGGATAGCTGGGGACACAGGTAGGGTCATCCGTCCTCCTGGAGCTGCAGTGACCCCCACCTTACAGCCACACCTGAGAGCTGAGCTGACGCCCCTCTCCCTACACACACACACACACACACACACACACACTCTGGGTGGATGAAGACAGTAAAGCTCACCAAAGACCCTGACTTAGACTTTGCACCGAGCCACCCCTGGGGATGCCCGGGTCCAGGGAAGCAGGGGCCCCAGAGGGACAGTGACCCAGGCAGGGCAGGGGCACTCACGGCTCCAGCCGGTAAGTGTACTGTCCATCAGGTGTGCGCTCCTGGCGGTAGGTGAGGCTGTAGGCCAGCATGGTGCCCACAAGACCGGCCAACTGCTGCTTCTCCCGGGCGCTATACAGCTGGGTGCTGACCTGCAGGCAGGGAGGGGGCACTGAGGACAGCCCAGCCACACCTGCCCACAGCCCCCCACCTGTGTGGCACTCACAGGGCGCAGCTTGGGCGTGAGGACGTCCAGCAGGGGGCAGAGCATGTCCAGCACCAGGGCCTGGGGTGTGGCCCGGCTGCGGGTGGACGGCGCGATGCCAGACACCAGCATCTGGATGAGGTTCTCTGTCTGGCTCCTCCGGTTCTGGGCCTTTGGGGGAGGTCAGGCAGGGCTGAGTCACACCCCCAGACCACGGGGACAGGCCTTGCCCACCACTGGGAGCATCCTGCATAGTGTTGGCCCTCCCTGGGCAGCCTCCCAGCCAGCCCATGGGCACCTCCTGCTGACTGCTGGGGAAGGTCAGGTGTGGCACATGGACAGCGGCGAAGAGCAGGTGGAAGGCCACGGGCAGGAAGGGGGGGTAGCGCAGCAGCTGGAAGCTCTGGCCGTGCAGGGCAGCCTGGGCCAGCAGGTCGTCAAAGGCCAGCCAGTCGAGGGCAGAACACACAGAGCCCAGAGTGGGGTCCCGGAGCCGCAGCCGCAGGAAATTATCGTACAGGCCCTGTGGGGGTTGGCAGCCTGAGAATCCTGTGTTCCTGCTCAGACCAGCCCTTTCTCTGCCTCACCCACTCTCTGGTCTAGGGGCAAGGGGCACCAGTCCTACTGCAGTTGGTTGGAGACCCAGGACACATAGGAAGATACTCCCTTTGCCCATCTCTCATCTAACCAGCCCTCTGGGCACAGCTGGCAGGAAAGCACCCCCAGGGCAGAACCCCCCCACCCAAGGTTTCCTCCACAGCTCATCCCCCAGACCGGGCTGCCCTCCCCAACACCAAGCCCCCCAGCCCCCACTGCCTGCCCTCGGGATTTCTGAGATCCGGGCCCTTAAACCAAAGCTGCTTAGGGTGCAGGAGCAGCTTAGACCTGGGGGTGGGGCTGTTGGTGGTTTATGGACAGGCCATCTGCCCCTTGCTCCAGCCAAACCTAGGCCACGCCCCTTGGCTTTAACCTCCATGCAGCCCACATCTCCTCTTCTACCGCCCTCCCACCCTGATGGCTGTCACCCGCCCCCAGCAGGTGGCTCTGTGCTCTGAGCAGAGAGCCCACCTTCTGCAGCGTAGGGGCAGGGCTGGGCCAGGCCTGGGGTACCTGCACTACTTTGTCATGCTCGCCAGCAGAGGTGGCCACGTGCAGCACGCGCTGGAAGCGCTGGGAAGCAGAAGTCTGGGCCACATCGGCCTCCCCGGACAGAAGCACATGGGCGGGAGGGGCCACATCCTGGCCCATGTGGCGCCTGGGGGGGACACTAGGGCTAGAAGGAGCCGGTGTGCAAGAAAGGCAGCTCCCACCACTGTACATGGGACCCTGGCAGCCATGGAGGTCCTTGTTGCTCAAGAACCTGAGGGTCTCCATGGGCTCATTCCCAGTGCAAGGGACCCCGTGCTCCTGCCCTTCTGGCATCACCTCAGGACCCAGTGCCCCACCACCCCACCTCTGGTCCCTGAGGGAGCCCCACCCCACGCTGCACCAATGGACCCATAGCTCTGCCCCCACCGCGCCCCTGAACCCCATAGCCCAGCGGCTCACTGCACCTCTGGGCCCGGGGCAACTGGAAAACCTCGTGCCAGACTGCGAAGAGCCCCTTGCGCTGGTCCTTGAGGCCAACATGCGTACTCCGCACTGTCCGCACGCTCAGCTCCCGGCGGCCCTGCCCGTGCAGGAACTGGACGGGCCCAGTGTGGTGAGTTAGGCCCAGAGCGGGTGGGAAGGCAAACCCCCTACACAACGCCCTACCTAACCTGCCCCCCCCCACCACCACCTGCAGGGTGTTGATGCAGGCACGGATATCATTGTCAGTCTTCTCACAGAGCGCCGCCAGTGCCCCGGGGTCTGCCAGCATGCCCCGCCGCCGGGAAATCTGGGGGGCCAGGAGCTGGTTAGGCAGGGGTGCCCTGCACAGATGGGTGCGTGCGGGCGGGCTGGGCCTGGGCAGACAGGAGACCAGGGCCCTCACTGACCTCCTGGAGCCGCTGCAGGAGCCTGGAGGGCAGCGTAGGCGGGAAGTGCAGGAGGAGGGCCTGCTGCTTCAGCTGACGCAGGGAGGGTGTGAACCTGGGAGCCAGTATTGCTGCATCAGGCCCAACCGGCCAGGTCTACGCCTGGGGAGGATGCCCACGGCCATTCCACGTGACTGTCAGGCAACGGGGGGCTCTCCCTCGCTCCCCCCACTCACTGGTTGTTGCAGATGCAGATGATAGGCCTTAGCAGCAGCCCCCCCTCTGCCCGGCGCCGCCGTTTTCCACCCAAGGCCCCCGCCTCCACCTCCTGGGGCCCCTTCCGGTCCAGGATGCTCAGGAGGACATTGATGGCTGCCTACAGTGGGCAAGAGGGATGCATGAGCCAAGGAGCATCCCACATCCCCAGCCCACCCAGGGGACCCTCCCACATCCCCAGCCCACCCTAAGCCTCCCCATCCAGGGAGGCAGCCCACCGTGGGGGCCCCATCGATCTCATCAATGACCAGGCAGTTGGGCTTCCCGTCGGTGCCCAGCACCGACTCCATCTGAGTGGCCGCCTCGATGCGTGTGCGGAAAGCCTCGGGGCTGCGGTCATCACTGGAAATGCACACCGCTGGTCAGGGAGGGGCCTCAGGGCTGCCGCCGGGCCCAGGCTCCATCTGAGCTGTCAGAGCCCCAGTGGGCCTGGAGGCTGGTCACCATGCCCTCCACCCCCAGCCCCTGGTCCTGTCCCCGCAGGCCATGCCCAGGCATGGCTCCGCTCACCTGGCATTCATCTCAACCACGCTGTACCCAGCATGCCGAGCAATCACGTGGGCCAGGGTGGTTTTGCCCAGCCCTGGGGGTCCACACAGCAATGCCACCTGCAGCCAAGGGAGACGATGACGCATTGGTCCCTCCAGGCGCTCCCTTTCCAGCACCATGTCCGAGGTGGCCCAGTGTCCTGTCCCTCACAGTCCCCAGGAGAGGACAAACCAGACAGCTCAGAGCTGATAAGAGGACAGGTTGCAGGGCCCCAATAGGTACCAACGGGCCTGACCAGAACCACTCAAGAGACAGGAGGCTTGTGTCCTCAACCTCTAGTTCAGTTTGTTAACACAATAGACCAAGATCACCCAAACTTTTATGCCTCCGAGGTCCTCACAGTGGATGACAAGGTGCTGTCCACGCCAAGCTCAGCCCAGAGGAGTGGTGCTGGCGATGGGGCTCACCTTCTGCCGGGGCCTCCGGCTGGGGTCCAGCTCAGCCTCCAGCATCTCCTCCAGCACCTGCTCGTGGCTCTTCCACTTGCCGGGGGCTGCAACCTCCTTGCCACCCCGGACTGGCTCCATGCTGGGCCTGGACTTCCGGGCGGGCCTCTCTCGGCCAAACACCACCAGGTCCCACAACTTCAGCCACTTGAGGAGGCAGCGGTTGGTGAACTGCAGCAGGGAGGTGAGGCAGCCTGAGACACAGGGTCAATGCCCAGCACCACCAGGCCCCTGGCCCTGCCACGTCCACCTTCCCAAGCAGTGTCCTCCTGCGTCAGACCAGACGAGGGACTGCAGTGAGGGCAGTGGACTTGCAGCCTCAGCGTCCCCGTCAACAACTCTCAGCAGTGGCCCACGTCCCTACTCACCCCAATAGCCCCGAGGTTTCCCTCCCAGAGATGAAGGAAGTCAATCACATTTAAGCAAGAAACAACGCCTCACGTCATCACTCAGCAGCTCCGTGTACTGCCGGGGTGCAAACTCATCAACCCACAGGCAGTGCTGGGAGGTGTCCTGGCCATCAGCCGCCCCCGGCTCTCCCTCTGTGGTCCCCATGGGCTGGGCTGCCTCCTCTGCTTCCTCAGACCTGAGGCTGGAGAGTATCAGGCCCTAAGCTGCCAGGTCTTTGCCCCAGACCTCGCCAACTGCACACCTGAGACAGGGCATCTTCAATGTCACCTGTGTAGCACGTCTGAGAGTTGCTGGGCCTCCTCTATCAGCCGCTGTTGCCGCTGTGCACACAAAGGGTCAGGTCAGGGACTAAGACCGAGGGTGTTCCCAGAGCCACCCATCCCACCAGACTGGATCCCAGAAGGCCCACCTCACTGTCCACCTGCTCCTTCAGGCAGGCGAAGGGCATGCCCAGTAAGTCCAGCTGGCTTCGGCCACGCCATCGAATATCCTGGAGAGGGTTCTGGGGGGTGGGGGGCCAGAGCAGGGGTGTGCACAGTCACCTCTGCACCTGTCACCTGTCTCTCACAGCCCCACCCCACAGCCACAGTGCTCAGGGACCCAGCTAACCAAGGGAAGTAGGGGGCAAGGAGAAAAGCAACAGGGACAAGGTCAGCTCATGGGACTAGGAGGAGGGGCCCCACCCTAAAGCACACCTACCACAAAAGTAGGGTGGAGAGACAGACTCCCTGCCCACCACTTCACCTCCTCCCAGAAGCTCTCCCTGACTACCATGTGCTGCTGGAACCATAGGGGAGAAGACGGAGGCCCAAGGAGGGGTCCAGGGGACCCAGTCCAAACAAACAACCCCATGTTACACAAAGCAGACACAAAAACCTGTCTCCCAGTGGAGAGTCCAGCCAGGTGAGCTGACCAGGTGGCCACCAGCACCCACCTGCACCCCAGTGCCCGTGGGGTCGTCATGGAGCACCAGGAAGGCCCGGTCACCACCCGTGGATGTCACATTGATGTAGTCCTCCAGGATGGGTGGCCGCCTCAGGACGCGATTATGGGTGGCTAGAGAAAGCAACTTGGAACCTAGGTTGGCTCCAGGGTTCCAGGGTCTGGAAGGGGCAGGGCTCAGGTGAGGAGCCCATCCAACCCTTAGTATCGAGCCTCCCAGAAACCCTCCAGATCTAGGGACCTAATCTGAGGAGAGGCAAGCTCCAGGCACACACCCATCACCAGGCAGGTCTTCGGGAGCCTCTGGGCTCTGTGGGGGAGTAATGTCTGGGGGTGGCGAATCGGGCATCTGCTCCTCCAGTTCACTGTCCAACCCAAAGTTCAGCCTCTTGATGGCCTCAGGCCGTGGCCATTTGATCCTGGGGGCTGGGGAGACACAAGACAGAAGCACAAGACCCTCTCCCAGCCTGGCACCCACCATGGCTCCCAAGGGCAACCCTGTAGACGTACTTGGGTGCCAGGGCCTATCCCCTTGGTCATCGAAGTCCAGCTTCCTCTTCCTGGCACAATCCTTGCCCTTCTGCAAAGAGCTGGCTGGAGAGGGGTGAGTGGCAACATCCCCTCTGAGGATGGCCTCATCAAAGGTCAGCTGGGGTGGTGGACCCACTGGCGGCTGAGGCGTCCTGGCAGGCGGCAGCTGGCTCTGTCCTGCAATAGCCACCCCAGGACAGTCAAGCGCTCCCTTCCCCAGAGGGCTGACAGTCACCGCCTCAGGGAAGCCCGGGACTGCGTGGCATCACAGGCTGGCCAGCCGAGGGGCTGGAGCCATGGGAGGGGGTGGGGAGACCCACGTCACAAGAGAGGAAACACTGGGAAGATGGAAAAGGAGGCGGAGAAGGAGAGGCAAGGAAAAATTAGAAAAGGGGACTGGCACTGGGTGGGGTCTGGAGCCCGAGGAGCTGCGGATCCCCGGGCCCGCTGTCCCCGTCCCTTTGGCCAGCAGGGAGAAGCTGGGCTCCACGCGCACCTTCTAGTTCGGCCAGCACTTCGAGCTCGGCCGCGAATTGGCTGTGGAAGTCGTCCTCGATCCCATACAACTCCTGCTCGTAGTCCTCCATGCTGCCCGCCGCCGCCGCCGCAGGACTCTCGGTTGCAATCCGTCCCGAACCTCCCGCGCCCGGAACCTCCCGCGCCCGGAGCGCAGCCCGCGCAGCCAATGAGCGGCCGGCGTGTCGAGCCACCCTCGCCATTGGGCGACGGGGCATGGGTAGGGCGGGGCTTCGCGCAGACTACGCGAGGTTGAGTCAGATTATTTAGAAGCAGCGGGCCCAGAAGGGCTCTCCATTGGCCGATGCAGTTGCCCGTCCGCGGCGGAGGCGGAGAGTAGGTGGAGCTGCGCGCAGGTCAGGAGGAGCCGGGTGAAGTCACGGTAAGCTCGCTCATTGGTTCTTGTAGCTGCCTATCGTCAGAGGGGGCGGGTCCAAGGAGGGACGGCGCTAGGAACCGAGGCAAGGTTCAGTCAATTCATTGGCGTCGCAGCGGCGGGTCCGGAAGGGCTTGTTATCTGTCAACTCACCTGCCCGTCATGGCGGGATGGGCGGGGACGGGCTGGAGGTGGGACTGCGCGCGCGGACCCGGCGGAGGCAAATGAAGTCACCGTAAGCTACGATCATTGGCCATTGCAGCTGCCTCTCCGAGGCGGGGGCGGACGAGGGCGGGTGTGGAGGCGGGGCTGCGCGCGCAACCAGGTCAGCTTGAAGCGCAGCTCTGTCCGTAACCCAAGGGGTGTCAGCGGGTCGCAGATGCTGGAGCACGGGATCGCGAGGGCTGGATCAGGACCCGGCAGCGGCATCGGGAGCCCAGACGACGCAGCCCCGGCTGTAGGTCGGTCGTGGGACGGGCGGGAACGCGGGGAACTCGGAGCCAGGGTCGCCCGGGACACCCCCGGCCTGGGGCCGTCTAGGGGCCACGGGGAGAGGGCGTCTACCGGGAGGCTGGAGTGCGCGGGTGCGCAGAGGCCCCGCTCTGGATGCCCCAGAGCCCCGTCCTGGCGCCCATGCCACTTGGGTCGGCATCCGAAGCGCAGCAGCCCTGTCCCACGCTCCGGGGTACCCTCACGTGTCCGTGGACGGAGGGCAAGCCGACTCTCCACTCAGGGGTGTGTGAAGTGGGAGGGGGCCATTGACAGGGATGGGGAGAATCTGATAAGGGGCCTTGGGGTGTGGTTTGTGATTTGGGGGGTACAAGGTGTCTGACTGGAGGATAGGATATCTGACTCTGAGGGACTAAGTGAACAGGGGACAGATGTCTGATTGGAGGGACAGGGTGTTGACTGGGGGACAGGCAGTCTCATTCTGGGGGACTATCTGAGGGATAGGGGTATATGACTCAGGGGATGGGCTGTATGGGGAACAGAGTCTGACACAGGGGGTCAGGCTGTCTGACTGGGGGATGGGTGTCTGATTGGGGGACAGGCTGTCTGATTCTGGGGAATGGGTTGTTTGACTGGGACAGGGATGTCTGACTCTGGGGGAGGGACTGTTTGAGGGACAGGGGTGTCTGACTAGGAGGAGGGGCTGTCTGACTGGGGAATGGGGTGTTTGTCAGGGGATCAGGCAGATTGAGGGCCAGGGTTGTCTGACTGGGGGACGGCTTGTATGACACCCCCAGGCAGCGCCATGGAGCCAGGCAGCGTGGAGAACCTGTCCATCGTGTACCGCAGCCAGGACTTCCTAGTGGTCAACAAACACTGGGACGTACGAATCGACAGCAAGACGTGGCGGGAGACGGTGACGCTGCAGAAGCAGCTGCGCTACCGCTTCCCAGAGCTAGCCGACCCCGACACCTACTACGGCTTCAGGTGGGA